GTAGCGATGGCATGATTGTAAATAAGAATCTACTGCTGGATTACTTCTAAGATCAGTGGATCACCATTCCAGTCTCGAATTATGGACGATCTTCGAGCAAATCTCATTTTTGTGTTCTGAGCTTGTTTTAACCCTCAGTACATGTCTGTATACGAGACTGTTTGATTGAAAACTTTTACCTCTTCTTGTGAAAATTTCTCTCTCGAATATCCCCTTGCGGATCAACACTTTTCACATTATGTGATGACGATGCAATGCAATGCAAAGAAGGATAAAAAAATGACATAAACAAAATAAATAAGTTAGTGTATAAAAACAAAAGAGAAAAACGAGTTAGTATGTGTAAAATAATTTATACGGATAAAAATGTTATTCAAAGATGAATATAACACCTACCCGACATGATATCTACCCTAACATGCTTTAATAGATAACAATCCTACCCGGACATGCTTTCTACCCAAAATTATCTATTTTCAAGAAATTGGTCCTGACCGCGTGATATCTAGTTCGCATGCTTTTATTCAACAGAATATAAAACGAAAAGGAAAGGTTCAGAAACGATCCTCCTTTATGTATACCTAAGTTGGGTACCTACTAACGGACAAAGGTTCAATATCACTATACCTAGGGTGATCGCTCTATTGTTCACTATATGCATGGTTTCGGCTCTAACAGAAAAAGGGAACTCGAATTGTCCTTGATGTCGGTGCCTCCTTGGGCTGCCAGACCCTCAATCCTCACCCATTACAGGTTTCAAACGGAACGAGTTCAATTCGAGGGGATTCACTACCTTATACCCATACGAGGAATAAATCCCTACGAAGGTATAAGGTATGTATCCCATGGGTTATTTGCTAAAACTCATACGAAGAATAAATTCTTACGAGAGTAAAGCATTCACCTCGACTAATTTGGATCAAAGCTCGTGTCTAGAGCTTATGTTATGCAAATGTATGTGATGTGTGTGAGGAGGAACGTACCTACCTTTGACTCAAAACAGAAAGGAAAAAAACACAACAAAAACTTGGACCGATCTGAAAGAAAAAAAATCAAATGTTAGTATGACAAATAAAAAATGAAGCAATTAAAAACTTCAATAAACGGATCATAGATTAACTAAAGACTCGAACTCATAAATCCGACCACAACGACAATGTGTAAGCGACTTACAGCTCGACTCTAAAAAATTTCCCCAGCGGAGTCGCCAAGCTGTCATAACCATTTTTTTTGTAAAACAATTAAATATTATTTTTAAAAACAATTATGACTTTAATTTGGAAAAATTGGTGGTTTTGGATTAATTTGAAATAAATTGGTATGGGAGTCGCCATCGATCTTTGAATTAGGTAGGTCGAATACCTAAAAACGTATTTTAAAAACAATTTTTAAGAAAAATCATTTTTTAAGACAAGAATGGTATGCGTTTACAAAGATTCCTTTAAAACGGGTTCGGGAGTCGATTACGTGTGGGGAAGGGTGAGCACCCCCACAGCGCCCAAAATTAGTACTATGTCGCTTACACGTTGTCGTAATAGAGAAAAATATGAATCGAATATAAAATTAACCTATGATCCATTTATTAAGATTTATTTAATTTGCCTCGAATTATTTAAAGAAAATCCTTTAACTCAATCAGAAATCTTGAAATTTGCAATCCTCCGTCGGGAAAACTATTTCAACCATTTCTCATTCGTAAAAGAATATTCTACCATTGATTATGTAAAAAAAATGTGAACCGAATATAACTAGAAAACAGTGTTTACATACAAAGAAATTGATTAACTAAAAAACATGAATTGAATATAAATTAAAAAATTTGAAATTTACATTCACATAAAATAAAGTGAATTGTCGCTTAAAATAACACACATTGCATCATTTGAATAAATTAATTAGTAAAATATACTCGACTTGTTGCAAGTTCCTATGTCGTTAAAATGCCGTATCGGATCGTACCACTTCGACCAAGTGGTACTTTCCACGCCCATTATACGCATACGTGTTCTTGAAAATATAATCGAATATTTCATACATAAATAAAATATAATGAAAATAAATGTAATTAAAAATACAAATATTAACATTAAATGAAATTCAACACATTATTTACACAATACAAATAATTGAATAACAAGTACAATAAAATCATACATAAATAACTAAAATAAAATATTCACAAATGTCAGGGATAAATTCGAACATCAACCAAAATACCTAACATATAAAATCAGGGACTAAAATGAAAATATTACAAACATTGGGACCAAAGTCAAATATCCACAAAAATGACATAACATACATTAATAGGACTAAAATAGAAATACATAAACATAATGGACTAAATTAGTAAAAGCATAAACTAACAGGGCTAAAAAGTAATTACAAAATAAATAGGGCCCAAATCACAAACAACAACTAATACAAACATCAGAAATGTGAATAAGCCATAAATAATACTTAGGACTAGATTGAAATTAAAACAGAAACATGAAGACTGAATAATTTTTAAACCAAAAAAGTAAAATAAGGACTAAAATAAAAGATTTATAAATGTGGTGGCCATATTCGAATATCAAAGAAACATACATGAAATATTAAATCAGTGACTAAAATAAAATATTTAAAAATCTCATGGTCATATTTGAATAGAAAGGAAAATATACAAAATATTAAATCAGTGACTAAAATAAAACTATTACAAGTATAATGCCCAAAGTCTAATCATAACAAAAATATCATAACATGCAATAATAGGACTAAAATATATGTTCTAAAAAATAAAGGCTCGAAATCGAAATACAATAAATCTCATTTAATGACTAAATAATGCGGTTACAAAGGATCAGGGACCAAAAGTGTAGTTTACCCCTTTTAATATGAGAAACACGGGTAAGATGTTACAAAGATGCGAGGACCAAATGGGCTATTTACCCTTTCATGCTGAAACACGCATACCCTGACCCCCTAAAACGGCGTCGTTTCGTGTTATATATATATAACAAACAAAGGCCAAAAACGACCTTATCTCCCATTTGCCTCACCTCACCTCACCTCAAACCAGAAGAGGGAGAAGGAGAGAGTTTTCCAAACTCTCTCAACGTGGAGAGAAACGGTCACCGCCGCCGGCAGTACTCACGGCGGAGCACGGTGGCACTCACAGCGGCCGGAGAGCCAAACATCCCAAAAGCCTCTCCTCCTCGCCCTTAGTCTGAAAACCACCTTTACTCGGCCTAAAAACAACCCCACAAGCCTAAATCTAGAAAAGGAAACCAGAAGGTTTACCTTACTCCAGCCGCGAAAGCCACCGTCCGATGGGGCCACCACCGAGCTATGTTGGTCTACCTATCACCACTCATCTTCTTACCGTTCGGCTCCATCGTCCGACCACCGGAGCGGTCGTCGTCGAAGACCCGATGGTAAATATCTATCCCTTTTTCGGTCTTTTTCTCCCTCGTGTATCTTCTGTATTTTTTTTAAAACACCCAATCGTCCCCCCCTTTTCTGGAAATCTCCCCCCTAACTGAATGAATCTCTGGTTTCTCCTTCTTTGATTTTATCCAGCCTCCCTGATTTGTGCTTGCTGCTGATAGATTTGATAGCCTCGGTGTAGGGTAATAATATCCTATATTTTTAGGATATGATTTTATTATATTCTGACTTGGATAGGCTTTTGCTCACTGTTTGATGGATGTTTCTGTCACTGTGTGGATAGGAACAGCTCGATGGCGGCGGAGGCGAGGGGAAGCTCGGCTGAGAAGCTGGAACGTCAAGCGGCGGCGGCTGGGAGACCAAACGGCAGCTGAGCTAGGGTTAACTGCATTTAGGGTTTAAAAACCCTAAATGCAATCTGGGTCGCTGAACATGTCTAGAGCTGGGCCTCGGGTTGGCTGGGTTTGTTAACTGGGCATTGGGCTTTGTATCTGATGGGCTTCGGGTTTGAGCCTGCAAAAATTTGTAATATATTAATAACAATAATTAATAAGCATAATATAATAATAATAATAATAATAATAATAATTACAATTAGATAGAAAAGACCCGGACAAAAACAGGTGTCTACACTTTCATTTTGTTTCTCTTTGTTGGTACGAGAACTATCCCATTTGTAGTTGTTCTGTACCGGAATAATTTCTCAGTTTTTTGTTCCTTTGGAGTAGCCAATGCCTGACAAGATGATTGTAGATTGAAAAGGTGCAAATTACTTTCTTATCGGTTATGATAAAATGAAAATATAATGAATATAAAAAATCCATGAGTATAGAACAACGGGGTGGTGGCGCAGTTGGCTAGCGCGTAGGTCTCATAGCTTCTTGAGTTATCCTGAGGTCGAGAGTTCGAGCCTCTCTCACCCCAACCTCTTTTTGAAATTTAACTTGTTTCTTTTGTAGAAAAGACAATCCTCAAGCCATGTATATTGGCCTACGTAGAGTCAACAGGTTCCTTCCCTTGCCTTGAACCAGCTTTCTGCTTTGGTTATGTTCTTACTGAAAAGGTGCGGGCATAGCTACTAATGGATAATACACATGCATTGGCCTGAAATTTTATGAGGTGTTTAAGTCGGAATCTGAGTAGAATAAATGGTTGAATGCACTAGAATACTAGATTTTGATTGTTGGTATCTATCTGCTCTCAATTTCCTTTCATGGCTCTAGGATGGATTGATAGATATTTGTCCATCGCTGTTTCTCAAAATATGGGCCTCCGTTTAACCACATTCATCAATACTCCAACATGGAGCTTATTGCTCGGAAGTGGGTCCAAGAAATGCCACGTGGCAATTGGATATGCCACGAGTTACTTGAGGGCATTTCCCTCTTCCATCGTATGCCACATGGCATCTCGTAGTTCAGCCGCGCAATATCTCACTTTGACACGTGCATGCAAATATGCTTGCAACGAGTGATGACGTAAAATGATTTTTCGCGAGAGGGAATCCGTTCCGTTATAAGTGACAAAGCTGAGGCAGAGCAGTTACCAGAACATTTACGCAAATAAAAATGCAGCAACCTAAGGACGAGCAAGAAACCACTGCCGCTAAATCCACTCTCCGGTTCCTGGAGAAGACGGTGAAAGATGTGCTGGTGAACAAGGGGAGACTCGCGGAGGTGCCTTACACGGCCACGCTAGGCGACACCATGAACGCATTGGTCGCCAACAAGGTGACGGCGCTTCCTGTTGATGCACCTCCAGGGCAGTGGATTGGGGCCGGTGGCTCAATGATCATGGAATCTGATAAACAAACGGGCGTTGTGCGAAAGCACTACATAGGGATGGTCACCATGCTTGATATTCTCGCATACATTGCTGATGATGATAATCAGATGATGGGGGGTGATGCTGGAGGAGATGATAATCTTGAGGGGAAGATGACGGTCCCGATATCGTCGATTATAGGACGCAGTTTCGAAGGACTTAGCTTATGGACTCTAAACCCAAACACAAGGTACAATTTCGCATATATTTTATGGTCCATTCAATTCATGGATTTGTTTGTTTTACCCAATTAATGTGTTATTGAGCAGCATTTTGGAGTGTATGGAACTGTTTAACAAGGGAATCCACAGGGCCTTGGTCCCAATGGACAGTCAAATGGAGAATATTCAAGGAGTTGAACTTGTGGAGTCTGCTTCAAGCTATAAAATGCTTACACAAATGGACTTACTGAAATTCCTCAATGACCATGCCTCTGAATTGGGGGAGATCTTATCAAGCAGCATAAAGGAAATAGGTTGCTTAAATCAGAGTGTTTTTGCCATAACCGATCGTACCAAAGTGATCGATGCTATCAAATGCTTGAAGACTGCTATGCTCCATGCTGTTCCTATAGTCGAATCCTCTAATCTTATTAAAGAAGATGACAAACAGCTTGTAGATGTAAGTCCCTCTCTTTTCTCCAATATTTTCAAAGGATGGCTAAAACAACCCATTTTCTTGCTTCATGTTGAAGTTTTCATATTTATATATACATATATATCAGGGCAAAGGGAGGAAGCCGATTGGAACATTTTCGGCGACAGATTTGAGGGGTTGCCATGCTTCTGCACTGCGGACATGGTTGCCTTTAAGCGCACTAGAATTCACTGAGCTAGTCTCGAGTAGCCCTTTGTCTGGAGCATGGGAGAGGGTGTCGGCGCCAAAGGAAATAGTGAGTTGCCAGCCAGAGTTGGCACTCTCAGAAGCAATCGAGAAGATAGTATATAACCATGTGCACCGAGTGTGGGTGGTTGATCAACAAGGTTTACTTGAGGGCCTCGTTTCTCTCACCGATATAGTGGGAGCCGTTAGGGTTTCATTGTTGTCAAAGGTTGACGTCATGTGATCTTCAAAAGTCTGACACTGTATTGACCTCTTTGAAGCTTGTTGTATTCTCTGCCTGTGCTTCGGTGCTTCCACTGCATTATAAATATTTTCTACAAACCGAACTTAATATGATCCGTATTTAGCTAATTATTTCGTATAACATTAATTTTGATAATGCTACATTCTCGAACACATACAGACCGGTACCGGGAAGAAGATGATTGATTCATCAAATACTATATGACACTGCTAAATGAACCTAGTATCTAATACCAGATGTATGACATGTTGCTGGCTAACTTTAATCCTCAACATCCGAGTCAATTGGGCACGACCCATCATCGGGTTGTATAAATGTGAGTTCGGATCCATGCATCCCGGAACAGGAGTCAATCACCCTGCAAGTGTGTTGCAGTTAAAGAGTTCTACTTCAAAAAAAAAATTGCTGCCAAAACTTCGATTATATTAACAAAATCCAATCATTATAAAGGATGAAGTCAAGGATCTCAGTAGCTCAAGTTGGTTATTCCAAATGCCAATATAAAACACATGATGGAAACATGGATCTTCAGCTGTAGCTCTCACCGACTGTGTCGCGGAAAAGGATTGAGTTGGAGACGTAAAGAATGACGGACTGGCTGCTATTTCTTCCGCACATTTTTGCTGCTACAGAAAGAGATGTTTGGTTGGATAGGGAGAGATAATGAAGAACCATGGCAAGTAGACTAGTCAGTAAAGGGCTAAGACAGAGTATTCTAACCACAAAGTATATGGATGATATTCCACCACATCTAAACAAAAGATCACCTTATCAGCTCAGCTCGCTCCGTCGTTTTCCTATTGGCACTTTCTTTTTCTACAATCCACACTTTCTTTGTAACTCAAAATCTTCAATTTTGGCTTAAAGTACAAACCGATCATGGCTTTTATAAAACCCAGTTTTTCTTTTGAAGCCACCAGCCGTGACCACAATGGCTTTAATCACATCAGTGTTTTTTAAGCCTAGCTCCTTACTTTTTTCACCTCGTCAAAGAGTAACAACGAGAACTAGGCCTTTCGCTTGCAAAGTCCAAAACTCGGGATTTAATCAAGCACAGAGAAAGCAGAGTCCTTTGCATTCAAGTTTTGTAACTCAGTCGGCTTTGGCTAATGGGGTGTCAGTTGTGGCAAAAGAAGCAGACCAAGAAGGGAAACCCCAGTGTAGAATTCTGTTATCTGATATTGTGGTGCAAAATAGGAGGGAGGTGTTTTGGAGGACAAATTGGAACGCTTTGGATATAGCCTCTGCTGGTATCGTTTTAGCCACGCATTTGCTCGGCCTTTGTGCACCTTTTTATTTCACTTGGAATGCCTTTTGGGTTGCTGCGGGACTCTATCTGGTATCAGGATTGGGGATTACGTTGTCTTTCCATAGGAATCTTTCTCATAGAAGCTTCAAGCTTCCAAAGTGGCTGGAGTACTTGTTTGCTTATTGTGGAGTTCAAGCACTTCAGGTCTGTCTGTTGTTTTCAATTTCTTTTGAAAATTACTTTGATGGGAAATGGAACTCTCATTTGATTGTTGATTTGGGTGTTGCAGGGGAACCCAATTGATTGGGTAAGCACACACAGGTACCACCACCAATTTTGCGATTCTGAAAGAGATCCTCATAGCCCCATTGAAGGGTTTTGGTTTAGCCACATGAATTGGCTCTTTGATTCAAAAACTGTTGCTGAAAAGGTCTCTCTCTCTATATATATCTTCTTTCTATTCTATTGGGAATGGGGATTGATGTTTTTCATTGAATCAATGGAACAATTGCAGCGTGGAGAATCAAGCAATGTTGGGGATTTAGAGAAGCAACCCTTCTACAGGTTCCTTCAAACTACCTATCTTCTCCATCCAATTGCATTTGGAGTTCTGCTATATGCCCTTGGTGGGTTTCCATTCCTGGTTTGGGGAATGGTAAGCTAGTTCTTCCATGTTTTTATCATTCTATGTATGTAGGTATGTATGTTTTGACATGAGATCATTGCAGGGTGTGAGGATTGTATGGGTATACCACATCACATGGCTTGTAAATTCAGCTTCCCATGTATGGGGGAAGCAAGCATGGAATACTGGTGATCTATCCAAAAACAATTGGTACTATTGACTTCCCTCAGTCACTATAACATATACATGCATATATGGTTCCTGTGAGTTGGATCTTGTTAATCAGTCAGTGATGAAGAATAAGCGTGTTCTTTTTCAGGTGGGTGGCATTGCTTGCGTTTGGAGAAGGTTGGCACAACAACCACCATGCTTTCGAGTACTCGGCCCGACACGGTCTAGAATGGTGGCAGTTGGATCTGACATGGTATGTAATCAAATTCCTTCAAGTTATTGGGCTGGCAACTGAGGTTAAACTACCTTTTCAAGCTCACAAGCAAAGGATGGCTCTCAACAACAGAGGTGTCGGAACCATTCTAGTCTAATCTTCACACCTTCATTTGCAGGAGTTTGGTTAACTGTGATGACCTCTTAACTCTGAACTACATATATCTCTGGAATCTTTTCCCTGAATTAAATTATCAACACCCCCCCTGCCCCTATTTCTTAAGGCTTCAAACTGCATCATTGGGCAAAGTTATGGTGAAACTTGTTGCAGGGACTCTTAACTTTTGATGTTAACTTAAAATAATCTACACTTGGTGACCGTAAGTGCAATTGGGATTGTAGATAATTCCGATTCTGATAAAAAAAATATGGTATTAATAGACAACAAAGAAATTACCTACATTTTATATGGATTTGAAATTTTTAAGAGATACAACTGCACTTCAATATTCGTCGGTCCATCTTGTTGGTTTTTGGCAAAAGTCCCACATTGGTTGTGTATAAGGAGGAGGGGAAATTCTTTTGTTATAAATAAAGCCCTCATCCTCCTTAGTTAATCATCCCACAAATATAAGCCTTCTTCTATTTTAAAGACTATTTGTATTCTTTTTCTCTTTGTAATATTTCTTCTATTAGTGAAATATTTTGGTGTTCTCTTTTATGTCTATTTAATAGCTATTGTCGGGTATAGTTGTTGTCAATTATTGTCCTATTAAAATTACTTGTCTTGGTAGTTCTGTCTAAGGAAAGTGGGTTTTAAGAGGGACCATTGTGACCCCTCCTCTTTCCTGGGAATCTACCTTGGGGTGATTTTTAGTACAATCGTTTTCACACTAGTCACCTAGATAATAGTTTTCAAGGTGAATCTGTTATTGGTGGAAATTAACCCGAATTTCATAACAATTGGTATCAGAGCTCTTGGTTTATTTTAGTATGCTCTGTGATTGCGGCTTAGGCTGATCTTCCACATCAGAAAAATTTCCTTGGGATAATTGACATTCTGCATTGGCAGCTATTAAATAGAATTTGTAGCAGAAATGGCAGACGCTTCTTCATCTTCAATTTTGGCAAGAAATGTTGTGACAAATGTAGATTTGCAGTGGAGATTTTTGATGGCACCGGTCATTTCGGCATGTGGCAAAGCGAGGTTCTAGATGCCCTATTTCAGCAGGGTCTAGACATTGCTATTGAAGGAGAGAAACCAGATGATGTTGAGGAGAAAGAATGGAAGAGGATCAATAGAATGGCATGTGGTACTATTCGATCGTGTCTTTCTAGAGAGCAGAAGTATGCATTTTCTAAGGAAACTTCTGCAAGTAAATTGTGGAAGGCACTGGAGGAGAAATTTTTGAAGAAAAGCGGTCAGAACAAACTCTACATGAAAAAAGACTGTTCCGCTTCAACTATGTACCAGGTACCACTATGAATGATCACATTACTAGCTTTAATCAGCTGGTGACTGATCTGATGAATATGGACGTGACTTTTGAAGACGAAGATCTGGCTCTGATGTTGATGGGATCACTTCCTGATGAGTTTGAGTATCTTGAAACTACTCTACTTCATGGGAAGGTTGATGTGTCTCTCAGTGAAGTAACTGCTGCCTTGTATAGTTATGAATTGAGAAAGAAAGACAAACAAGAAAACACAAGTGTCGAAGCAGAAGCTCTTGTTGTTAGAGGCCGTTCCAAGAGTCAGAATAAAGGAAGCAGAGGGAGATCGAAGTCAAAGTCCAGATTGAGCAAAGATGAATGTGCCTTTTGTCGAGAAAAATGGCACTGGAAGAAAGAGTGTCCCAGGCTAAAGAATAAAGGCAAACCTGAAAGGGGGAAGGCTGTCTCAGAATCAAATGTGGTCGAGTATGATGATGGAGATTCAGATTTCGCATTCGCTGCTACGCCATCAACCAGCTGTTCCAGTTCATGGCTGTTAGATTCAGCTTGTAGCCACCATATGACCCCCAATAGAGAATGGTTCTTTGATTTTAAAGAGCTAAAAGGTGGAATTGTCTACACAGCAAATAATTCCCCTCTTGACACACTTGGGATTGGTTCAATTCGCTTGAGGAATCAGGATGGATCAATCAGAACCTTAACAGGTGTCCATTATGTACCAGATTTAATGAGAAATCTCATCTCTGTGGGAACCTTAGAGTCAAAAGGTTTAGAAGTGAGGGAAAAAGATGGGATTATGAGGATTATCTCTGGTGCACTGGTGATAATGAAGGGAATCCGAAAAAGAAACAATGTGTATTACTTTCTGGGTAGTACAATTGTTGGGACAGCAGCAGTGGCAGCTTCTACTGATGAACAGGAGTCAGAAGCAACCAGGTTATGGCATATGCGCTTGGGGCATGTTGGTGAAAAATCCTTGAAATTACTGATAGATCAAGGATTATTGAAGGGTGCTCGGGCTTGCAAATTAGCTTTTTGTGAGCATTGCATCAAAGGGAAGAAGACGAGGGTGAAATTTGGAACAGCAATCCATGATACTAAAGGTATTTTGGATTATGTTCATTCAGATGTATGGGGGCCTTCCAAGACAACTTCATTGGGAGGAACACACTATTATGTCACCTTTGTTGATGATTTTTCCCGGAGAGTTTGGGTGTATCCAATGAAGACAAAGGATGAGGTGCTAGGATTTTTCCTTAAATGGAAAAAGATGATGGAGACTCAAACAGGCAGAAAAATCAAACGTCTCCGTACAGACAATGGTGGAGAGTACAAAAATGATCCATTTCTGAAAGTCTGTGAAGAGGAAGGTATTGTTAGGCACTTCACTGTCAGAGGTACACCACAACAGAATGGAGTGGCAGAGCGTATGAACCGGACATTAGTGGAGAAGGTTCGGTGTATGTTGTCTAATGCTGGGTTAGGCAAAGAATTTTGGGCTGAGGCTTTGGTCTATGCTTGTCACCTTGTCAACCGCTTACCATCGACTGCTATTGGTGGTAAAACACCATTAGAGAAATGGTTTGGAGTACCTGCTACAGATTATGATTCCTTACATGTGTTTGGTTCCACTGCATACTACCATGTTAAGGAGTCAAAGCTGGATCCAAGAGCAAAGAAGGCGATTTTTATGGGGATCACCTCTGGTGTGAAAGGCTATCGTCTTTGGTGTCCAAGAAACAAAGAAAATAATCTTCAGCAGGGATGTTACCTTTGATGAATCTACCATGTTGAGAAAGGTGACTTCAGAAAAATTAGAGCAGACAGATGGAACTCCCAAAAAGGTGGAGTTTGAAGGAAGCAAATTTGTCCCAACCAGTAAAGAAAATGATGTTGACTCTCCTATGGTAGAAGAAGAGTCAGATGAAGAAGAGGTTCAGACCCAAGAACCTCCACAGCAACATGAATCAATTGCACTCAGAAAGGGAAAGAGGACCATTAGACAACCTGCTCGTTATGCTGATATGGTCTCTTTTGCATCACCAATTGCAATTGATGACGTTCCTGCCACTTTTAATGAAGCAGTTCAAAGTTCAGAACATAAAAAGTGGAGGATTGACATGAATGAAGAAATGCAATCCCTTCAAAAGAATCAGACGTGGAAACTAGCTAGTCTTCCGAAGGGAAAGAAGGCAATTGGGTGCAAGTGGGTATATGCAAAGAAAGATGGATTTCCTGACAAGAATAACATCCGCTACAAAGCAAGATTGGTGGCTAAAGGCTACGCTCAAACGGAGGGAGTTGATTATAATGAAGTATTTTCTCCATTTGTAAAACATTCCTCCATCAGAATTTTGTTGGCTTTGGTAGCGCAGTTGGATTTAGAACTAGTTCAGATGGATGTAAAAACTGCATTTTTACATGGAGACTTGGATGAGGAAATCTACATGACTCATCCATATGGATTCAAAGTTGCTGAAAAAGAAGAGATGGTGTGCAAATTAGAAAAATCGCTGTACGGATTGAAGCAATCTCCAAGGCAGTGGTACAAGCGATTTGACAAGTTTATGATAGGGCAGAAGTACACAAGAAGCAAATATGATCATTGTGTGTATTTACGCGATCTAGAAGACGGATCCTATATATATCTTCTTCTTTATGTTGATGATATGCTGATAGCTTCCAGGAGTCAGACAGAAATTGCGAAACTAAAGACTCAATTGAACAGGGAGTTTGAGATGAAGGATCTTGGTTTAGCAAAGAACCAGGTTTACCATGCAAGGACGAAGCACATCGATGTTCGATATCACTTTGTACGAGAGATTCTAGAAGAAGGTGGAGTCATAATCCAGAAGATTCGGACCACTGAGAATCCTGCTGATATGTTGACAAAAGTGGTAACTGCGGTCAAGTTTAAAAATTGTTTAGATTTGGTCAATATTGTTACAAATTAAAAGATTTTGTTTTTTTTAGAGATGTGTGTGGAATTTGCCAAGGTGGAGATTTGTTGGTTTTTGGCAAAAGTCCCACATTGGTTGTGTATAAGGAGGAGGGGAAATTCTTTTGTTATAAATAAAGCCCTCCTCCTCCTTAGTTAATCATCCCACAAATATAAGCCTTCTTCTATTTTAAAGGCTATTTGTATTCTTTCTCTCTTTGTAATATTTCCTCTATTAGTGAAATATTTTGGTGTTCTCTTTTATGTCTATTTAATAGCTATTGTCGGGTATAGTTGTTGTCAATTATTGTCCTATTAAAATTACTTGTCTTGGTAGTTCTGTCTAAGGAAAGTGAGTTTTAAGAGGGACCATTGTGACCCCTCCTCTTTCCTGGGAATCTACCTTGGGTGATTTTTAGTACAATCGTTTTCACACTAGTCACCTAGATAATAGTTTTCAAGGTGAATCTGTTATTGGTGGAAATTAACCCGAATTTCACAACATATCTATATTTAACATGTCCATGAAGTTTTCACTGTACACTTAAAATAACCAAGTTTAGATGCACAAATCAAGTTACCTTAGTGGTTACATGTATAATTGTTTTCTCTAGAGGTCTTATTTCGAACACCAACTATATACTACCACTTGTAATCATCATATGTTATCTAGAGGAAAAAATAACCAAGTCTAAATATAATTTTGTACTAAAATTTGATATTTTAGTAATTGATATATTCAAATTAATAGAAAAAATTATTCAAAAGATAACGATGGGATATTCTATCCGAATATGATCCAGACTGTCAAATTCGCAAACATGTTGATTCAAAATTATTAATGGTAATATTTTGTGAAGTGCTAATTGCATTTAAAATCTAG